AGCTGCCGGCTTTGAGTTCCTCACATGCGGCTTGGCTGTGGCTGCTTTCCCCGGAGCCTGAAAGTCTTCGTGGCGTGGACGAGGCCAAGGTGTCCCGGTCAAATCATCCAGCCCTGCGGCAGTCCGGCCCTGTTCAAGGTGTTCTGCTAGGGCACGGCTGTGGGGGATTAAACTCAGCGGTGGCCACCAAGCCCCTTTCAAATACAGGTGCCCCTGTGGCATCTACAAATCTGTAGCAAGATTCTACTGATAGAGCTGGTACACTGCTTCCAGCATTTGCCATGGGCTATTTTAAGGTAATGCTGCCCTAAATCTAAAGGCCTGTAATGCAGAAATGATTCACGGATTAACAGAAAGGCAAGTTTGATGGTTACTGAATTCCCATGTTTTGTGTTTCGTGTCTTCTCCAGATTCTTTAAGCTGTGCCTGGACTTCTCCCTGCAGTTGCGTTCCCATGTGCACACAGGTCTGCAAAACACTTTGGTGTGAGGAAGCTCCCCAGAGTTTGAGGGGCATTGCTTCAGGTCAAAGGAGCACAGCTTTGCACTGCAAGACGTTCTCCTTTCGTAACATTACAGGTACATTCGATTACTTGGCTGTAGTAGGGATCTATACCAACGTAGATCTATACAAATAGAGATCACACTTCAGATTATATAAACTGTTAAGATTATTTTTTTTATCACTGTGTTTTCATTCATTTAATAACAGATGTTAAAAAATCAGCTTTTCGTTACCAGGTTATTAATACCTGTGATCTCATGCAGGTCTTTGACATAAAGAAAAATACCAACTTGCATTTCTTTGTAAAAGATGAGAGACTCCTGTACTGAAGCTCATAGTAAGAAAGTGTCTCTCCTTTGAGGATTGAATCTTTACAACATTCCCAGTTATTGCTATTTAAATGAAAGGTCATCTTCTATAATGACATTCATTTTCTGAGTTCCAGATCAGATTAATTTCTACAGATCTGGAAGGACAAGCTCACCACTGAGTCTTCCAAACAGTATCACACTGAAACTGCTTAGAAAGTACTGCCACAGCTTCACCACGTCCTTATTCCTAGCGATTACAAGATTACTGTTACTTCTAATTTCGACACTGCCCTCACTCAATTTGTATCTATATTGTTGTATTTGTAATTTGTATTATAAAACGGGAATTCCAACCTGCATACCAGAGGCAAGCAGGTCCTGCAAACCTGCAGAGTCAGGGAAACAGGCACACATGGACCAGCTGTTCCCCTCCCAGGGGCGGTCTGACAGAAAACAGTTGATTTGACAACCCTAGAGAGCCTAGCGAAGTCAGGTCAGAGGAATTCCACACAGATGTGTTCTAGCATCCAGATACAGGTGCTTCTTTGAATAGTGCTATCCCAGAGATAGGTCATTTTCTGTGGGAGAATACAATGACTCTTCCTAACATGCTATAGGACAGAAACAGCCCAAATGTGAGTTTTATAGCACCCTTCCTTTCAGTTTTTTTAAATTACTTTGACATTGCCAGCTATCAAGTTACTGGAAGGATTCTTTATCCCTTTTATCTCTGAGAATTGCTTGATAGGTCTTGTCTGTTTTGCATGGGGAACATTTCCTTAAGGAATGGGGAAGAAAGAGGACATTGATTGTTAGAAGCCCACTTGCAACTCTCATCTTCTGAGAGAGGAAGAGTGTGTCTTTCACATGTTTTGACAAGGTATGTTGGTACATCTAAATTCACAGAAGTAACTATCAAAAGGAGCACCTCAGAGATAATTTGGTCTTGATCATCATTCTTCCAAAGCAAGTTTCTAAGTCCCAAAGCTAAAAGATAACGCATCAAACTCCCTTAGATAGCAACAGTTTTCTTATACCAATGATGATGCAGTTGAAGTTTCATTGAAAAAGACTTCCCAAGAAGAGATCTTCTGCTTGGAGTAATTTTAATGTACAAATGAGGGAACCTAATCTGAGGTTTGTTTAGATCTGAAATGAAGGGGTTGGACAGAATGGTCTCAAGGGTACTTTCTTATTCTCATTTTCTCTAATTTTAGCTACTTAGATACAGTGGCACCACATCCTAAAAACAAACAGCTGTTTGAAAATGCACTTGCTCAAGTAAACAAGGAACATTTTCTAGCATGGTATACTAATTATTTGATACATCATGCAGCTCATATAACCCTCTAGTGTAACAACATGCTTAGACAACCAGTTCTGGTATAAATTTGCTTATGAAGCAGCACTTGCTTGTAATGCCTCATAAGAATTAGTAGTTTTGAGGCTTTAACGGTATAAACAGACATCAGTGGGACCAAAGCCATCATTGACTAATCCCTGATGAGTTATATAATAGATCTCATTTAAATTTCAGTCGCCAACTGATGCATCTTCTGAGGAAAAAATTCCATCTTGAAATGCTGTCTAACTCAAAAGTTAGCAATTTGGTGGGAGGAGGACGGGAGACGAAGCAGTAGGAATAGAGAACAAGACAGAGGAGAATATATGGCAACTGTATAACTCCATGGCTGAACCAAGAAGGACAATAAAAATGATCAGATATATGGAATAGCTTCTTTATGTGAAACAATGGAGTAGTCTGAGAGTTTTCAGCATGGAAGAAGGAATAACTTCAGGGGACATGATAGCACTCCATGAAATCATGAGTGGCATGGAGAAGATGGATGGGCATGCACTGTTCAGCCTCACAAGAACCAGAGCCCAGTGAAGCTGGTATGAATGTGGTCATAAAATTAAGAATAATAAAGTAGTTCTTCACAAAATAAGTGCTAGACCTGCAGGACTCTTGTCAAAGGATGTTGCTGATGCAGGAAGTTCGCAAATTCAAGTGCTTGAGGGAGACAGTCACTGAGGGTAACTAAGGACACAAGCACAGGCTTAGGAAATCTGAGCTGAAAACAGCTAGAGGTAGGGACAGTGTTCATTTGAATTTTGCCCAGCACCTGCACATCTCTAGGCATCTGCTGCTAACCACTTTTAGAGAGCAGGAAACTGAGTTCAGTGGACCATTGATCTGAACCACCATGGCTGTTCTTATGTGCAGTATAATCAATCAAAACATCTCTCAGTGAGACTGTAGCCTCCATTCACTAGGGAGTTTCAAAAGCTCAAATGACTCATAAAATAATTTGGCTTCTAGTTACAAATCAGAATCTGGAGATACCTACTTTGAAGAATATCTCTTAACGTGTTGTAGCCAACCTAGATACACAAAATAAGAATTAGAGGAAACAATCCACAATTAAATGTTACTGTCTTATTAAGACTTTCCTAGGTCAAGGCAAGGAATAACAGCAACACTGAGATGAGAAACAATTTGCATCATATTAATAGGTTAATGTTTTTGTTATCTTCTATTTTGTCTGTTACACAATTAACTTTGATACTTATCAGCATATTTTCCTTTTCATTAAGGCTTATCTCAAAAAAACCCAAAGCTTCACCCCTTCCCTTTTTCCAGCATCACTACTGAGAATACTATTATGTAAAAACCTTTGAAGTGACAGAGTAACTTGGGTGTCTTGTGCAGGTCAAAATACAGAAAATAACTGCATTGCATGGGAAGATTCCCTGTGCTCCTAAAAATAACAGCAGTTATTGTTGTTGCTATAGCTATGGCTTACTGCCTTCTATCTTATATATAATCTTATATATCTAATATGTAAGGATAATTCAAAAATATAGAAAAGAACAAATTACCAAAATAATGTAGGTCTGGAAAATATAGTTGGGAGTTCTTTTACTACCTACTTGTTATGGAGCTAGTAACTTTGCTCTCTTTATTACCTTGCAAAGAAGCTTAGAGAAAATGGATGGGTATTTTTACTTTTTGCCAGTAAGTAACTTGTGTCCAGGAAGCGGAAAAGCCAAAGTGGATTTGACACATTGCTTAATTAGCACACTCTTAATGTAAGTACGCTATTCCAGTTCCAGTCTTCCCTACCACTCCTGGAAAAACTTTAAATTTATTGTTATTTACAGTCACTTTCATGACACAAGTAAAAGGAATGCAGAGAAACAGTATTTTACTTGATTACAGTTCCTGTGCAGCATCTGCACTATTCAGCACTAGCGTATTTCATACGCTTTGTACTACGTTTCCTTACAGTAAGCAGAGCCAGCATTTACTCTGTCCTCAGGAAAGCGTTTTAACTGCTTATTCATGCCACACAGACCGAGAGAGGATTGTTTATGCAGCTGGTACGTAGCAGTAGGTCCATCCCCAGGGCCTGCAGGGTGGGCAGGTCTCCCACCCATCCCTCAGGCCAGGTCATCTCAGCCTGCATAGGGGCAATACTCACTTTGCAGAGCGTCTGCAGGCACATTTTAACCCGAGAATGTTAAAATACTTGAGGTGAGTGGGTTTTGTTCTTCTGCAAACAGTAAACATGGTGCTGCTGCCCTGATACAGCACCTTGGAACACACGGCAGCTTTTCCTTGAGACCCTTTGACCCAAGAGGGTCACACGGTCATCCCAGGGAGAAGACCACGTATGGAAACTACTGCATTAGCACACCGTTGCATCCATTTAAAAGACTCAAGAGTCTGAAATCGGGCAG